CTAACCTGAACTTGTGAAATGATGGAGTCAGTGTCTCCAAGACTTTGGATCAGACAACCTTGATATGGTCACTTAAACGGAACGTAGACAGCGAGAAAAACATGTCTAATTTTATATTCTTTCACTTAAATCAACCGTTAAAAACACTAAGAAAAATTGCATTATATTTATACAATAATTTCTTCAGCTTAGATCAAAGTTTAAAAAAATGCATAAATAAGCCAAAAAAGCATAATTTCAATTCGGAAATTACTTTCCCTATGTTAGTTTTTATTAGATTAATAAATCTGCATACTCAATTTAAAGATTTAAAAAAATTAAATTTTTTGACAATTTTAACGATGTTATTTTTACCTTTAAAAATTGAAAAAATTTTATTTTTAAACCGCACATAGCTAGATCGATTTGGCTGTTGATTCTGATCAAGAATATATATGGTTTATAGGGTCGGAAATGACTTCTTCACTGCATTTTAATAAGGAAGGGTGAAAATAGCTGGTACTACTTTATAATAATACTTTATAATAAAGTGATTAATACTCTTCACTTATAGCACAATTTTACCTATGCTATTATTTGTAAGAGTAACTAGTAGTTTTAAATCACTTTATGCTAAATTTAAAGTTTAAATGCGGAATTAAAATATATCATTTATAGCAGTCCCAAAAAAACTACGTATACGCACTGTTGTAAATAGTATTTGATCATAACTAAGCCAAAAAAGCAGTTATTTTAATTCGGAAAACTGTTCTATGCTATCAAACCCTAATTTATATTAAGGAGTTTACATAAATTAAAACCCAAATGTTTCCAGTGTAGAAAATACACCAAAGACCACAATCATGGATAGCAACACCTTTGCGTTGGATGCGGAACTCCAACGTTGTTGTTTTTTTTCTGTCTTCAACTGCAGTTACCAATTATGTAATGTGGCCAATGCAAAGTGACTGGAAACTGGAATGGCTGAAACCGAAATTTTCCCACTCTCCAGAGACCAGACTTCATGATCGGTGAGCTCTCCTCTCGGATCACTCGGCTTTTCAGCTCTCAGCAGATTTCCGCATGGGCAAACACACAATGATATAGTATTGGTATCATATATTTATACACATATATATCAATATATATACTATTGGGGCCTCAAATTGAACACAATTGTGGTGTTTGGAGAGCCGCTGAAATAGCGGATGTGTGTGAGTGCGCTCGTTGGATGATTCATCCTCGATTCGGGGAATCCAAAGCCAATCAAGTGCCGCAAACCAAAACCTAAAAAAATACGTTAAGCGAAAAACCAAGACAAGGCAGACGGACAGGTTTTTGTTTCACCTTCTCGTTTTATTTTATTTTAGTATGTCACGCCAAAAGTTTGTGGCCATTCCCCAAGAGTATTTTCTTTACACTCGATTAATTCGAGCAACATGAACGAAATCTTATTTTAAAAATCTTTAAACCTTTTTAAATTGCTTTAAAAAGTTTCTTTTGTGACTATCTTAAAAGTTTTAAAAATGAAAATATGACTATTTTCACATTAAAATACATATGGTAGTTACTTGGAAAGGTATATTAATTAAATGAATAGTAAATAATAAAAAAATATATAAATATACATAAATAACTAAATATTTATGATACATCAAACAATTGATAAATATAGTGATTCCCAGAAATAGCATAAATTCATCTCTTTTCCCAACGGAAATTATATAAGTACATACAACCTCAATAATTTACCATTTTATCAAAAAAAAAAAAAAAAAAACTGTTGAACCGGAACTTAAAATTAAATTGTTGCCTTAAGCTATATATTTTACTTCATCAACTTCTAAAGAAAATTATATTTTAAGACTTGGAGTATTTAATTCATTGACGTATTGCATACCACCAGCTAACCATTAAAATCATGAATAAATTGCTCCCAAAAGGGTACTAGAGGGCATTCTAAGTTCGACGCAGTAAAATTAAGCGCATTTTTTCAGAACGACCTTTATCATGTTTTAGCTGCTGGGCAAACATTTTGGAGCTGGTTGGTAATTTTTGCTCATCGTGTTATTGATACACAGCCCCGGCATCCGCTTCCCTTCCCCTTATCATCATTATTCTCCGGTCGAATGTCTTGAATGTTAATGCTCTGCGCTCTTTGTTTCGATGCCTCTTTCGAGGGCGTCGGCGACCTTTTGGATTGACTCTGTTATTGCAAGAGATGTTTACACTAAACAAAAATTTATATAAAACTTATTAACTGGATTTAAAGTTATTATACTAATTTATTTTTTTGATTTTAAGTCAGCATCAGTAGGCTTTATCTATTATTTCTTTTAATATTTGTTAATATTACACATATTAATAATATGTATATTTTAATTAGCTCATTAATTTGTTCAGTGTATCAAAACTGGCCTCAAAGTGGCGCTGAAATGAAGAGGAGCAATAAAAGCCAGCAACAACAAGTGGTTGCTCAACTATGCGCTCCACTGTTAAGCCACCTCAACCCCCTTGAGCCCCTGCTCAGGCTTTTGCCTCTTCACCTCTCAATCTCTCACTCTCTCTTTCTCTGTTCTCCTCTCTGAGGTCCCTCTTTCTTTGGGGCTTGGCTTTGTTTGTCTGCATTCGGTGGCTTGCGAATGGCCCCCTCTCTCATTCTCCCTCTCTGGCGCTCGGCGTGAGTGTCCCGCTTACGCGTGTGACCTTGAATGGCACATGTGCCAGAATTGCAGGGGGGTTATGGTTTGGGAGGCGTGGTGCCGGTTGAATTGGTCGTCGTGCTTTGGACTCCTTTATAACCTTCTCTCTTTCGCTGGCTCCCTTTTTTCCATCTTCTTTTGTTTATCTCGGCTATGTCGAGCGGAGAAACAAGCTCCAATAATGAGTTCGTGATTTTGTGACGTAGCGACAGCTGCGATTGCTACGTCATAGGATGTGAATTGAGAAGGAGAAGAAATTTGGAGTAGAATGGAAAGTCTGGAATGCAGCTTACTCATTTTCTATTTATGTTACAGTAGTCCCTTGATTAACAGGGAAAGGAGATTGTTAAAAAATATAAAGTTACATATTTTTAACCCTTTTTAAATATTTCAATAATCTGCCACAGAAATGACCTTTATTTTATAAATCTAGTAATTTCTGCATATAAATTATTAATTGCATTAAAATAAATATGAATTTCAAGTTGATATTCTATTATTTAGAACTAAATTGTTAGGTAAGATTGGTAACAATCTATTTTAATCCACAAATTATTGATTGAAAAATAAAATAAAATATTCCTCTAACCAATTTATTCATTTAGTTTATATTGCCATTGTTTTAATCGCATATAGACATAAATAAAGCATTGTTGTTGTACTTCTATATAGATGCAAAACTATATTGGCCAATATTATACCACAGAATGCATTTTGATGCCCACGCTTCGTGGCAAGTTTGTTTTTATTTCGGAAATCTTTTCGGCCAAACAGAAAATAAATTATACAAATATGCATACAGGCGCAACAATATTGAAATATTTTCGCCCGATATGCAATGTTAACTACAAATATTTGCCCCTACGTGTTTGCACTGCCTGCACTTGTGTGTTTATTTAAATGACCAAAATCTGTCGATGGAACAGAAGCCAAAAATTGAGTTAATAACTCAGTCTGACCTTAGACGGAAGACGTCGAGTCTTTAATTTTGGTTTATTTTTGGAGGGAATTTCGCTAGCGTGAATTAGCAACGTTATATGGATTATATAATTTACATTTGCCGAGGGTCAGCGCTAGTTTTTGGTCTGTCAATTCCTGGGAAAATCAATAAAGATATTCAGCTGTCAATATCTAACAAATATTTCTTTTGTTATGCATCTGGCAGTACAGATGTGGAAGAATCTAATGTATATTTAACTATATATTATCAGAGTCTAGAAAAATGTGTGATTCATTGAACTCACACAGTAACAATTTTCATTGATCTTTCATTATTGATTCGACTAAATGTATTAAGTTCTTAATTATATAACTTTTAAGCATTCCTTTTTCAAAATACCAGACACCTTTTACTGTGAATAGAGTTCATCTGAAATAACATTTTAGGGATTCCATTTTTACGGCATTTCCGATACATTTAAAACAATAAACTTTTTTTCCTGCAAAAAATTCACCTTTTGGTAATCACTGTTTATTTATAGCAAAAAAACAATAGAAAATGGGAACACCTGCAGTGTATTATAAAAATCTCAACACTTTTGCCAAATCCACTTAAAAATCTATAACATTTTCTGCGCTTTGTTACGTCATAGGAACGCACTTGAATAGAAAAAGTAAAAGAAAACAAAATCGAAGAATACGCACAACGAAAATCAATAAACAAATTAAACACGCGTACACAAAAAACAATGTAAATGGAGTTCTCATGGGTTTTAGATATTAATTAAATTTTGTTATCAAATTTTGCTTTGTTTTTCAAGGGAATATTTAAAGAATAATTGGAAATGGTTTAGGAAGTATTATTTTTATCCCAAAAATACGTATTTATTGTAATATTTTTGTTTTCAAATGATTTATAATTATGTTTTCTGAGCAAAATGTTCCAAAATTTCCAAAATAATTTACTTCATAATTGTTTTAAAATACTTTTAAGTTAATACATTAGTTAAAATGTAACCACTATGGCAATCATGCATTCATTTACTGATCTTGGCCACGTCATGCTTTATTTACCAACATTTTTCTTCGTGTGTAAGACAGGGGGAAGCAAATATAAAAACACAGGCAATCAATGGATGGCTGGAGATGAAAACAAGAGTGGCCCCAGGCGTAGCGATACTCATATCAGCGGCAGTACAGTTTATCACGTATACGCACCGAGTGCAGCCGAGAGCGCGCGATCTCTGAGAGCGGAGAGTGGAGACTGGAGAGTGGGAGAGCGGTGAGTGAAGTTCAGTCGAAGTCGAAACCGAAGCTCTCCTGCAATAGCTGGCAGAGCCCGAGCGTTCAGTTTAATCTGAACTTGGCCGCCGACGGACGTGGGTTTCGCCTCACCATTTATAACGCCGATTTAGTTGATTTAATCGCCTCGCATATCGCATATTGAGCAAGTCGCACGCGACTATATAGCCGCCTGTGTATTAGTTAATTATACGCGACACGACAACTACAAAGTGAACTACAGATGTGTGTATAAATCAATGTCCGCTCCTAACTGCTGCGGCTGCAGTGCCAATCATAAAATAAATAGAAATAAAAAACAAAAACAGAAAGAAACAATAAAACAGCTACGGCGTTAGCTTTGGCAACTCTTGTTTTTGTTTTTCAATTTTTTCACAATTTGGCGCGCTGTTTGTGACTAAGCTTCATGCTTATCGCGCAGACAAACAAAAATAAAAGCAAGTGTGTAATAATAAAATTTAAAATATTAATCAATTACACGTGTCAGCGAAACAAAGAGATAATTCGCCCGCAAAGTGCATTCGAAACGAAGTCAAAATAAATTCAAGCGAATCGCAAATTAAAACTAATAAAGTTGTTTTTGCAAACAGCATAAACTCCCCTAAAAGGTTAGCAATAATAAATTAACTAAAAAACAACAGATTTAGCAAATCTAAGGCGCAGTTTGTAAAGTCCCCATGTCTATTACCTCGCCCCTCCCTTCACTCATCCAGCGGAGACGTGGGCTCCGACAGCTTCCCGTATTAAGTTCGATCGCAGTGACACTGCAAGAAATCAACAACAATTCGCAAATTATAATCCGACAGACATATATATCCCTGATCGAGGGGGCAATAAATTGTCCAAGTGCCACGTGCAATGCTAATTTTTATTTATAAATATTTAAATATTAAACACAGGTAGAAGATAGGTTTCGTAATATGGCAATGATCTTGGAATAAACAATTAGTCTTCTTTTTAATATTTATTATCTGGAAAATTATTGACTTTAAACGAAGAATTTTCAATAAAAATGTATCTTAGAGTTCTTTAGGTGTTAAATTTCAAGGTTTAATATATTTTGGTCATAGGAAAAGTACATTTATTTCTATGAACCTATTTACATTTATTTGTTTTTAGACTTCTTGTTCCCTGTATTCGTTTTTGTAAGTGTAACTGCGGTTTTCCAACACAACATCCTATAATATATGCAAATAAAATCCAATACAATGCAAGTGGCTGACGGCGATTTATTAAAAATATAATACTCAGTTGGTATTTATTGGTGAACCGACTATTGCTTTCCTGTATGATTTGTCAAGATTGCAAAAAGGGATTTACATACTGGTCCAGAATTCGTACTCCTTCGTACATAACAAATGCCGGAACTGCTCCCCAGAGTAGACATTTCCTCTAGAATTGCATTAAATATACAATAAAGCAGCCATTAATGCTTGCTTATCGCAGAAATTGCCTTAAAATGGCGCCTTTATTCCCTTATTACTTTAGATATTAAATAAGTATTTGATGAATAAATCCCTCCCTTCTTTCTATAAACAACATATATATTAACTATATATTATTTTCATTATTTCTCCGTTGATAAGAATCGCTGGCAAATGCAACTCAATTCGAATTTGTAGATAATTTCCTATCACATTTCGAGATCAGAAAAGAATTTTCAATTAGGAAGAGAAACCATAGTAAAGAAAAAACAAATCGAAATGCAAATATTTGTATTAACGAAATGTAAATATTTTACAAGTGAAAAAAGTTTATAAAAATTTGCCACGGCATCTGGAAGATTTCGTTTATTTCATTTGTAATCAAAGAAACACACACACACACACACGCACAACCTGCGGACTGTGAAAATGGAACTGCAATCGAAAGACACGAAATGCCGTAAAGTCTTTTAAAGACTTTTCCACACACACGCAGACACGGATGGAAGGAACCCATAAAAATAGAATGAAACGGAACAGTCATGGTCAAAACTTACTTAAATATCGATTTATCTGTACGTCCAGAAAGCCAGAAGCTATCTAACTCGCATTCATTGGGCCAAAAAGGCGGCGGAATTGTTTTCGGCAATTGTTGAAAGCCAAAACATGCAAAACACAAACAAAAATCCACAATTTTCACACCTTTTGGTCCATGTGTGTCTGTCTGTCTGTCTTTCCGTCTGTGCCTGCTTACATACAATATAGAGTCTGAGCCATGTACATGGCTATAACTTTTCCATTTGCATTAAACAGACTTGTTTTCAAATCAAAACTTATTGTAAATTAATTGCCAAATGCCAGAAGGAAGGTGCGAGGGTGGCCAAAGAAGTTTCTTTTCAATTTTGTGAATTTTTTCAAGTGATTTTAGATTGAATAATATTTGTATTGACAAAATACAAAATAAAGAAAAAGGTAGCATGTAATTAATAATATATAAACAAGTGTCTTACGTTATCAATGTACTTTATTTTATACCTTCTTCTGAATATTTTTGTTATAATAGGATTCAAGTATATTAATTATTACTTTTATATTAGCACTTTATATATACTATATTCATTTCAAAATCAACTGATTAAAGCTGTTAGTGTTATCAGCTAGTGAAAATTCCCACTGGTCTTGAGCATTTGTTTCTTCGGTTCAGCGGCAATTCCATGCCTTATCTGGTGAACCCAAAAAAGTCCCTGATAACCCGAGGAAAATATTTCTTGCATTTATATTTTCAATTCCATTTTTCCTTATATTTGAATAATTTGATTTTTCCGCATGAAGAAAAACCATCTAGACTTTACATTGATCTGTCATTCACATTAACACACCCAGAGGGTGCTCCTCCGCCCCCTTGGGAAATTCTCCCCCAAAAGCATTGAAACTTTTCGCCGAAAACAATTCACACTCCGCACTTTTGTGGAGGAGAACAATGCGAAAAGCTGAATCCCATTACGCATACGCCATGTTGGACCGAATTTGAATTGATTGAATCGTGAAAAGTTTTATAGCAAAATAATTAAATGCTGTGGTTTCTTCAATTTTCGGGCATCGCGTGTCGGTCGCTATTTCGATTTTCCTTTCCGATATGTGTGTGTGTGTTAGCGTTTTGTCTTGGCCATTAGAATGGAAATTGCTCAAACGCTTCGCTTCTCTGGTTGCTTTGCTGCCGCTTTTCCGGGCCATGCTTTTCTTTTTGGGAGGCTATTCTGGTGTGGTGTGGTCTGGTCTGGTTCGGCATTCTGGGAATGCTTTACTCGGTTACTCGGGCATTATTTACTTGACTGCAAAAATGCCTCCCTTTGATTTGCTTGAAAGACCATGAAAATCGATTGGCTGTATAATTTAACTTTGGCCCCCGGTTTTTGCTCTCTTTTTTTTGTTGCCGCTGTAATGATGTGATGAGGAAAGTCGAGCAACAAGCCAAATGTAACCGGAAAATGTTTTGCGAATTAATTGCTTTTTAATTAGTTGTACACCATAACACGTTTTCAGGTGGGCATGTCAGACGGAAATTTAAGGAATATAATGCAAACGAGTGGGAAAATAGGAAAAGCATCCAGAGCAAAGAAAATATATACATTTATTTCCTCTTTGTGATCTTTCCTAAATTCATAATTTTCTTATTTATGAAATAAGAATAAGGTATTATATACCATGTTTAAGGCTTCAACTTTATGGCTTAAATGTAGGCCAAATGCAATAATTTCAGTCACGAAGGTCTGAAACAATTTGTATACAAAAAAAAGGGAAGACTCGAACAAATGAAAAGGTTATCAGTGTGACAGAAAGTCTACTCCTTGCCTTAATCTCTCTCACTTGCTCTCATTTCCCTTCTAATTAGCTGGGGAAGTCTTCGTGGGATTACCCATTGATAGGCTTGCGGAAAACTCTTATCAAAAGCGGCTTTAGCCACTGGGAGCTAAGAGTGTTATTCATTGGAGGGCACGTGCTCGCAGCGAATGGAAATCCATTTGAGCTGCTGTCTGAACAAATTAAATAACCATCTTCTGTATGAAAATGTTAAAGCAATCAGCACAGAAAATATATACCCGGGAAAAGCTGAAATAACGGATGATTAAATTACGAGCGGAACAATGAAAATGCGGAAAAGGGGAAGAGGAAATTAATAAATAAGAAACTTTTAGTAGCTTCTTCAATATTGTTAATTAGGTCCTTTGCTAAAACATTTAACTTTATTTTTGGAATTAAAAAATAAATAACCAAGGGTAAAATGTATAAATGAAATAAAAGTAACAATAAATAGTTAGTTTGTTAGTTTCCTTTCTTGTTTCAAAATATAGATAACTATTTCTATCTGATAACCTTTCTAAAAACCAATACAGTCAAATGGTTTTCTTTTACTAAATCACACATTTTAAAATGTATTTTAACAGATGGTTTTAAGTGCAATATAAATAGCTTTCCCAGCACAGTGTTTTTTTTGTATTAGCAACAAATTCAATCGATTGTGACCTCAGCCAACTTCGGATCGAAGGAGTAAACAAACATTAGTTATTTATATATGTATGCATTGCATATATAGTATCTATATATATGGTGGAAAGCCAAATGGATTTCCTGCAAATGACAGCGGGGCATGGCCCGTCGAAGGACACTGTCAAAGAACTAGAGGAAAATCATAATTTTCAACGCTTATTGATTTTCCCGACGCCGACGAGAATTTTCCTCGCCTAAGACGATTTCATATATTTATACCCTTGCAGGGTATTATAATTTCAGTCAGAAGTTTGCAACGCAGTGAAGGAGGCACCTCCGACTATATAAAGTATATATATTCTTGATCAGGATCAACAGCCGAGTCGATCTAGCCATGTCCGTCTGTCCGTCTGTCCGTCTGTCCGTCTGTCCGTCTGTCCGTCCGTCCGTCTGTCCGTCTGTCCGTCTGTCCGTTTCTACGCAAACTAGTCTCTCAGTTTTGAAGCTATCTGAATGAAACTTTGTAGTTAGCCTTGTATATACTCTCACTCGTATATATGTCGGAACGGGCCGGATCGGACGACTATATCATATAGCTGCCATAGGAATGACCGGAAAATTTTTACAAAAAAAATTTAAACTTTTTCAGTTTTCAATAGAATTGAATCAAATTTGAGATATAGCCATTATACTATACTCTTCAATTTTGTACGAAATTTTATAAAAATCGGACTACTATATCATATAGCTCCCATAGGAACGATCGAGAAATTAATACAATTAAATTTATAACTTTTTAGTTTTCAGCTGATTTTCATCAAATTTGAGGTATAGCCATTTTATATAAGTCTTAAATTTTGTGGCAAATTTCATGAAAATCGAACGACTATATCATATAGGTGCCATACAAACGATCGTTTGATGTGGAGGAAAAATGCAAATCAGTGAATGTAAAACTGCAAATATAATATGTATAGGTGAATGAAATGAAAGCAGGTATTACTTCATTGTTTTTTAACACAAATATATATAATTTATATTGTATGGATTCCTATTCATAGAAGTTCTATCTGCAAGGGTATATAAACTTCGGCGTGCCGAAGTTAGCTTCCTTTCTTGTTTTTTTTGTACTTTTTGGTGACAGGCGAAATTGGTACGGAAAAACTTTTTATTTGAATTTAATTTTTCGTAGAGGC